GAAATATCTGTAGAGGCTGCCACAGTACGTCCACTTGGGATGCGAGCTGGGACCGCAGACTCCTGTGGATACGGGCCACACACAAAGCTCTTAGGAGAGGATTTTCAGTTATTGTTAATGTGGGTTGGGTTTGGGCCTGTGATATGGCAGTCGTACCTCTTTGCACTCGAGCATAAAACGAGCGGTGTGCTCGGCATAGCTCAAGGACACGTTTCAGACCCAATCCAGTTGCTACCCATCAGACTCGGCACCTGCAGACATCAGTGGGACCTTGCGCAAGTCCGGACAGCAGGATTGCACTGACGTCGCTTGTCCGTCTGCACGCAGAATCGGACGTTGCAAGCCACCTGTAGGTCTCCGATTAGAGTTAAACCTCTTTACGAACCTCTTTTCCTCTTCCTCCTTTCTTGGGTAAATCCTGTTGCCTGAAAACATATGCTTCGAGTTTGCATCCAGACCCGTGTGCATAGAGCATTTAAAGAATTGTTTTGAGTGCGTAATATATTCAGTAGAGGAATCAGGGACCGTCTGGTATAGATTCTATGCTAATTGCTGATGAAGGTGGAAGTGAACACTAAAATGCCAAAGCAATGACCTGATGGGGATCAGTGGAGTATTCTTGTCTGATTTTGTTTCTATTAAATTTTTCTCTCTTTCTCCAAGGCAGCATGAGACCACTAAGCCACTCAGATTATAGTTTCTTTCTTTTTCTCCCTTTTCTTTTTCTCTGTTCTCTTTCTCTCTCTTGTTCCTCCTCTGGTCACTGCAGTCGGCTCTGGGGTTGGAGTGCAGACGGGCTGTCGAAGCACCCCCCTCCCCTTTCTCAGCCTAACTCCATCCCCACTGCTCCTTCCCACAAGACTTTCAGACGCTCTTACTCCCCCAGGTAACAAGCTACCTGTTAAACCAAATTGTCTGAGATGTCACAATATTATTTCCCTTTCACGCACAGGGGAACCGGGACAGAAGGTTTGCGAAGGCCAAAAGGGAGTCACCCCAGACTCGTGGTGGTCTGGGGATCTCCGTGGATGGAGTCAAGGGAGCTTTGGTGCAGAGAGACCATAGGGGGCATTGCAGCCATTCGTTCCTCCTGCAGGAAAGCGCAGCACCAAGAATGAGTCTTTGGGGGAAGTCTTTCTCCTGCCCCGTTTCATTAAATGAAATACCGGGGATTTCACGGTGGGAATATGAGGTCGGATCTCAATAACCGAACACTTCTCACCGTCTGATCCCACCTCTTGGCGCGGTCACATTGTGACATTGAGGACTAAGTCTGCAAACACGTGCACCCAGGTTACCCGTGTGAGGCAGGCAAGTAGGCAATGGCAGATGCAGGCACTGATGACCCCCCCCCAAAATGGTGTGAGGATTCATTACTTAATGCCCCTAAGACTGTGAAGATGAAGCTCACATGGATGATTTTTCAGTCTACACCTACTTGGTAGACCACGAGATATCCACGGGGCGGGGGGAAACCCAATAGTTATCGTAGCCCATCTCCAAATTAGATCGCTGAACAGATTCCCGTCCTGCCATTGCTCCTCAGGCAGAGCTCTCACTGGCCGCGCCTGCTTCTGTTTTAATGGGAGTCTTGCCTGAGGAAGGACTGCAGATGTCTTCTTTTGAATTGAGAATTTCCAAACGGGAAAATGTTAAACCTTGATGTCATCACTCTCCAAACAGACTTCATTTAATACTCGTTTCATGCATCCTTAGCGAAAGTCAAGAAAGTAAAAAAAACCAAGAACCCACAAAAAAAAACCTCCCCAAAGATATTTTACAAAGTTGTTGGACAATTTATTGCCATTGATGCAGGAATCGGCAGGTGGGATTTCCATGGCCTATATTGCACATGAGGTCAGACTACCTGATTTAAAGTGAAGTTGACATTTTGACAGAGAGATTTGAGACTCATCTGCCAGGGAGACTGATATTTTCTTTAGCCTCTCCTTAGACTCCTGAAGGTAAATGCCAGGAGCATCAATAGGGCTGACCTAAGTGATCCTTCACCCACTGAAGACAATGGGAAAGGTTCCCACTAGCTTATGGCCTTTAGCTCTGCCCCGTCTGACTAGTTCAGTACTGAAGAATGCTTTTATCATCCCATCTGTAATCGCCAACCCCGAAGTTATGCTGCCAGTGGCAACGTGCTGCTAACCTGAATAAACGTGCCAGCAGGAAGGAACGCAGGCAGAGGAGATTACCGGGGGCTGCTAAGGGTGCTAGACTGGTGATTTCCTACCCAGTTGTCAGGCATTACAAACACACTTTTTTAAGAGAGAACAATACATTTCGCATGCCCAAGACTGGCAAGACTTGCATGCATTGCACACAGAAGGCCGCATTGCATTTGATACGGCGGCAATTGGAAAATAATGTTGTGACATCCCTAAAAGCTGCTCATCTCTACTCATCTCTTCCTGCTCATCCTGTGGTTCTTCCAATTTCCTGCATGGGTCACCTTTTCCGTTGTGATTGACAGTCTCCCACTGTTTTGTTGGAAGGTGGGTGTAGCTCCTTTTTACATGTCTTTTTTGTTGTTGTTGCTGTTTCCATCGCGCGCTCCCTACAATACACAATCACACATGTACCAGCGAACAGATCGATGTGTGCGTTCATATGTAGAGGCTGCTTTTGATATGAAATGCAACCCGATTCTTTCCCATCGTGAGATCGCTTGCACAGGTTCATGCTTGGCATGTGACTTGAGAAGCCAGTGGTTTGTTTTGGTTTTTTTTTTTAATATTTCATAAGAGTGATTTTTTTTTTTTTAATTTCATTGTGTCTTGAATAATCCTCCAAACCACAAGCCTTCGCAAAGATCTCCGTTCCTTTTATTCACATCTTGCTTAATTGCTTGGATGTTGCAAAGTCTCTTTTACATTGATCTCCTTTCTGGGAGGTGATTAGTTATCATACACGGTTTTGTCACCGTTAAGCTAAATTCTACCTTCAAATACACCTTAATCAGGAAATATATGTGCACCCGGAAGGGAAAAATGTGGCCCTTTGTGTTAGTCGGGGGAGGAGCTGTAATTGCGTGAGAAGACTGGGAGTCAGGATCCCAAAGCTTCTGTTCTTGATCCTGCCGCGGTTTTGACTGTGACCTTCACAAGTCACGTAGCCACTTTGTGGCTGCTTATTCTATTGGTAAAATGTGTATTTTAATAATACCAACATGGATATATGCTGCGGGCTGTTTTGTTGCTCATGTAACTGCTGTTTGTAAAACCTCCCGGCCACCTTTAGTCGAAAGGGGCTTGAAATGAATTCAAATTAGTATTTAAAAGCTGATAGCAAGGGCGTTTTGCCTGTCTCCCGTCTGATAACCACCGTGGAGCTGCCAAAGACCTGCGATGTCCTGCTCCTCTGATTGCACCTAGGGTCATTTTAATCACCGACTGCCATTCCTTAGCCTGAGACATCTGCAGTTTCACAACTTTGAAAGCCTCGTAGGCAGCTTGAGTTCCCCGCTCCCAGGCTGTTGTTATAGTGGCTTCCTTTTCTTTCCAGACAGATCTTGCCTTGACAGATCAGAGGTTGTTTAATATTTAGAGTTCGGGAGTTGTCTTTTGGGTTCCTTGCCAGCATGCATGGCGTACATTCAGTGCCGGTACCAGTGCTTGTGCCATTGCTGCAGGGCGAGTGTCTTGACCAAGCGCCAGGGATGACAGCCATAGACAGTGTCGTTTAATCCCAAAAGAATCAGGGCCTAAATCTGAGCCTTTGTCTGATGTTCTTGAGTCTCTTCCAGGAGGAAGAAGGCATTCGAGATGATTAAAATCTTACTTGTCTCTAAAGAAAGATTGGCTGGGTGCCCACAGTTCAGCAGAGGCGTCCCATGTCTCGGGTCGTCCGTGCCACAGGCAATCCCTTCGTTTTGTGCAAAAACGACGCAAATCCTCCACGTTGTGCCTCATCCTCTAAACCATCGCATCTCTTCCCAAATTGTCCGCAGACACAAAGCCACCTGCGTTGGAAGTCTGTGCGTGTTATGTATCCAGAGCCCAAGTCCCTTAATCGTTCAGTGTATTGACTCCTTCCTTTTGGAGCCCTCCTTTGCCGAGCGCCTCCTTTTCTACGAGAGACTTTTGGAGACGCTCTGTTGATGCACCTCGGCGTCTCTTCCTCTGGATAGAAGAGAGTCCTGCTTTAACTCTTATTTTTTAAAAAAATTTCTAAGCAAGTCAGAGCACCCGTCTTCATACATCTGTTTTACCTTCTTCCCTCGTCTGTTAGAAATGTCTCTGGTGGAACTCCAAACAATGCAATTTTAAGTTGCTCCGTAAGGAAGTCCAAACTATACGCCTTGGCAGGAGGGAGGAAGTTCGAAAGATCTGGTGGCTTAGGCCCAAGAGCCTGATTTCAGTAGTGTTCAGTTTCTCCAGCCTTATCTTCAACAGCGTTACTTTGCTATTAGCTCTTCATGCAGGTATTTGGATTTTTTAACTATGAGCATTAAAACATGTAGTTTAAGTTTTATGCCTAGGTAGGTCTTCCCTCGGAGCTTAAATTTTTCTTACACACTTGAATTCATTGACGTGAAAGATTTGAGATGACTTTTAATATGACATTTAAAAGTAAAAATACATTTCATTTATACATTCATCAAACGTCACCACTTTGTGTGTGCTCATTTTCATTGCTGGTTTCTTTAGGTTTTTTTTTTTTTAACTATTACTAACAGTGCCATAAATCTGTGCCGAGCGGGTAAGGTTTCTGGATATACAGGCTAGCACATTTGTTTTTACCAGCAGTGGGCTTAACTCTCCTTCTTAGTTACATCTGTGTAACTCAGTTGACTTCAAAGCTTCATCGGATTTGTACCAAGGTGAGAGAAGAATCAGCCCCCAAGTCCACCTAGATCCCACCCATGTCTTGTTCCAACTCACTGCTGGGAATGGGACGCCAAATCATCCCTTTCCAATGGGTCATTTTGTTGTTCAAGGTCAGAAGTCGACACTTTGGCATGTGACACTTAATATGCCTTTGATCTCTAGCATGCTGGATTACGACACGGAGAACCTAAATTCCGATGAAATCTACAGCTCGCTTCGCGGCGTCACGGAGGCTATTGAAAAGTTTAGTTTCCGGAGCCAAGAGGATCTGAATGAACCAATCAAACGTGATGGAAAGAAAGACTGTGACATTGTAAGTACTCTGGTAATCTCGTGAGGCTCTAGGTAAGATCAAAAATACCTTTGGTTTAACTGGTGTATTGTCCTGTTTTGGAATTTTTTTTTACACAAGGAAGACACCTCCTTTGGCAAAGAGGTGTTGTTCCACACATCAGTATTTTTCCTTAAACTCATGGGGCCAAATTGTACAGTCCTTTACCTTCAAACTCCAGTTGACTTTGTGGCATTTGCTTATCTGGACTTCACTGGGAGTTTGGACGTAATAAGGCATATTTAAGCTAGTGCTTGATTTCCCACCCTCAGCTTTGCTCAATGCTGGTTTGCATATTAAAATTTAAAACAGAAGAAGTAAGATAGAGATCTTAAAATTCAGGGAATGTTTCCCTCCCAACTAGTAGTATTTTCATATATAAATACAACAGTTCAGGATGAGCTTATTGCCCGAGTCGCTGAAGAGTGATTCCATGGACATACTTGTGGCTCAAGGTGCTCTTCAGCATTAAGGAGATGCCTAATCAGTCCTTAACATGAACAGGTGTCCTGTAGATTATGTTTGGGACTCTTGGCTGGAGTAAAGACAAATTGAGGGTGGTGCAGTGTCATTCGATTGTATTTTAAACCTGCCTTTTAAAGTCACCATCACATACGCTTTTGACATTAATTGCGTTCGTCATGCTACAGCCGGGTCCTGATCTTCCCTAGGCAGTGGAGGCTGGGATTTCCCGATGCTAATTTTCAGAGTTGGGTTCCCACCTTTACTGGGAATCCTCATACTGGGAATGGGGCTGGAATCGATGATCTCCCGAGGTCCCTTCCAGCCCTAATGTCTATGAAATCCTGTCCGAGTTTCAGCTGCTACCGTGGCAGTTTTGTTTCCACGAATGCATGCACCTGAGCTCTCTTTTGCCGGTTTTCACCAAGTTGCAGGGATCTGCGCAAACGTAGAGCGGTTGATGTAACTAGGTATGTTATTCCATGACCAAATTTTCACCGAGGGGACTCTTTTGGAACAGGAAGAGTCGCATAAGTAATGAAAAGATACATTTTGAATTCATCTTAAGCAACTGAAAGAATTGCATGCAAAATTAGTGATTTGTCTTTTTTTTAGTGGATACTGGGATTGACTCTCAAAGGATCCAATCTCCTTGAGTCACTGAAGAAAATACCGTGAACTTCTTTCTGTCTCCTACCTTGTCCCTTCAGGTGTCTCGAGATGGCGGAATAGCTGCTCCCGCCAGCGACGTACGTGGAGGCAGCGACGTTGTGGAAGGGGGAAGGATGGCTCTCGATAACAAAACCTCGCTACTTAATACCCAGCCTCCACGCGCCTTTTCGGGGCCCCGAGCTCGCGAGTACAATCCCTACCCTTACTCAGACACGATCAACACCTATGACAAGACCGCTCTGAAGGAGGCCGTGTTCGACGATGACATGGATCAGCTTCGGGATGGTTGGTATCGCTTGCTTTGTGGATTCACAAGCAGTGCCTTTTGTTCTGAGTTTGTGTGTTTCCCTATTTAAATTGTTGTGGGACGCAACTCTGAAACTGCTGTTTTAGCTAAATGTACAGCAGGGGTATCAAACTGATCTGCCCAGGGGGCCAGATGAGGAGTGGAGGGCCAGTCCCTGGGCTAGATTAGACGCACAGACCGGCCACGTGTGCCGGATCCAGCACATAGGGTTGGTCTGGTGCGGGTGCTGTATGCAACATGTGGGGCTAGGACTGGCGTGCGTTGTATACAGCACACAGGGCCTACCCAAGGCCCACAGGCCACATCTTGCATCTCCAACGTGCAGCATATCTTATGCAGAACCAAAGGTAAAATTTTGCATGAAATGCTGTGATACTGAAATGGAGATGATGCGTTTACTGGAAAATATGATAATTTGTTTTACTATGTAACGTTTCCTAATATAGGGAATAGGATTCATGTGTGTGTGTGTGTGTGTGCTATATCTCTTAAGAAACTAAATTGTTTGGAAATGTTGAAGTTGAAAATGGGTTATTGGAAATGAGTTACATCCCAGGAGTGGTATAATAAACAGTCATTTCCAGAAATAATTCTTTCACTATAAAACAAAAAGTCTGTTAACAAACCATTGAGAGTCTTTCCACTATTGCTATCTTTTCCTTCTTTGTTTCCGATCATACTTTAAAAGTTGCACAGACAGTTGTATATTAGAACAGGCCTGAAGAGATGCTAGAAATGGGATGATCTTGTTTCAACCCTGCTTTTTAGGCGCCTGGTATCAAATACAGGGTTGCCATGTGTCCCATATATATGGCACAAATGCAGTTTTGTTGGGACATCCTAATGGCCAGCCCTGAAAGCTAGCCTGCCACAGTGCAAGAGGACTTGATTCACTGGGGTGGAATTGCATCACAGCGGTGCTGCTTTGCTGGGTGTAGGTGGGCAGGGGAAGTACCATCTAAAGATCCCAACGGCATGACAGTTGAGGTTGCCCTGTCAGACAAACACAGAAGATGGCCAACCTAATCTTACACAATCAGCCATAGAGAACTGGATGAAATGAAATCCATGTCTGTCCATAGTTGATCAAAACCTTTTTACAAATGTATGATTTTTTTTTTTATAAATTTAGGGTCAAGTTCTGGAGTATGTCCAAGTTGTCCTTCTTCCTGGAGCTGCCCGATCTAAGTCACGCCCTACCTGATGACTTTGGCAGACCGTTATAGATTCATAGATGTTAGGGTCGGAAGGGACCTCAACAGATCATCGAGTCCGACCCCCTGCATAGGCAGGAAAGAGTGCTGGGTCTAGATGACCCCAGCTAGATAATCATCTAACCTCCTCTTGAAGACCCCCAGGGTAGGGGAGAGCACCACCTCCCTTGGGAGCCCGTTCCAGACCTTGACCACTCGAACTGTGAAGAAGTTCTTCCTAATGTCCAGTCTAAATCTGCTCTCTGCTAGCTTGTGGCCGTTATTTCTTGTAACCCCCGTTATGCTTTGAGCACAATCAGAAGTTTTAATCAAGGGGTTTTTTCCTGTGAAAGTGACCTGCTTTTATTTGTCCTAGAAGTACCCATTGACCATTCTGATTTGGTGGCTGATCTTCTGAAAGAACTGTCGAATCACAACGAGCGAGTGGAAGAACGGAAAGGAGCCCTGCTCGAATTGCTAAAGATCACCCGAGAAGATAACCTGGGAGTGTGGGAGGAACATTTCAAAACCATTTTGCTGTTGCTGCTAGAAACTCTGGGCGACAAAGATGTAAGATGTTGACTTTGCATTTAGTTGTTACGCATCACTTTCTTTTCACTGCCAGTTGTCCGTGTTATTGCAGCCGTGGCACAGTCATGGGTACCCAGTACTTCATGGCATCCTTCCCCATAAGTCTATCTGCCTCTCTCTTTCTGCACTTAAAGAGGATGTAGATGCCCCGTTCATTGGCAATTTTGAATTGTCCTGAAACCTCTGACTTCTGTATCTAGAATATTGTACTGATAGCAGCTAAAAATAATAATAGGCAGGGCTTGATAGGAAACAGTTTACAAAGATTTGTCCCATTCCTTTTCTGCATGAAGGCAACCTTCATGAAAAACTGGAGAAAGAGAGGGACCTGCCTCAGGATAGCTTGATGCCTGGCAGTTTGGCCAGTCACTCTGTGCGTGTGCGTGCATGTGTATACACACACACACTTATATTATACATGTATATCCACACACACACACTCCCTCTCTTAGAGAGGGAGACACCCCAACTCTGCAAAATCTAACAACCAGTAGTTAATGCGCTCACCTCGGAAGCTGGAGACCCAGAGTCAAGTCTCTGCTCTGCCTGATTCAGAGCAGCGACTTGGATTTGGTGTCCAATATATATCCAATATATAATACGTATTGGACACCAGGTCCATGTCTCTGCTCAAAATCAGGCAGAGCAGAGACTTGACCCTGGGTCTCCAGCATCTGAGGTGAGCACATTATGTACTGGCTGTTAGATTTTGCAGGGTTGGGGTGTCTCCCTGTCTTCTAATAGGGAGGGCAAGACTAAATCCATGGCCGGGTGGCGTGGACACTTACCGGGCTATTGGCAATTTGAGGACGGTGCTCACTCGTGACAAGAAATTCCCTTCTGCACCTGAAAACACTTCCCAGTGAGAACTTTTGTCTCAAAAGTGAAACTTTTTTTTTTTTTGTTTCTGACAAATTGGCATCTCCCAACAAAAAAACTCAGAAAATTCTTGATGAACCCAGTTAGAACTGACAAAGGAAAACAATGGGCAAGGCATTAGATTGCAGTGGTATACGTGAGGATTTGTATATACATAGCACTTGCTTCCAGAGGTTTTTATTAGATGATATCTGACCAAAAATATAATTTCAAGGCTAAGCCTTCAGCTTTACATCAGTCAGGAGTCCATGCCATGAGACAGTTTTCTGTTTACAGGGATTTACATCCATTGTCTAGATCACTGGTATGGACTGGTTTTACCTACAGATCAAATCCACAATCATCTAAATGACCTGAATGCCATGTGCAAGTAATTGTATAGTTATTGGGGCATTTCCAAATCTAGCCCAGTATCGTTTGTGCGCTGGTTATGATCAATAATAAAACATGCCAAGTCCTCCCAAATCTGTTCCCCATTTATAAAATTGGCCTGCTTCAAAAGTATATTTTAAGTTTGTGGTAGACATTTTGCCAATCATTGTTTGCAATTCAAGCGTCAGCTGCTTGTGGCGTAAGCACATAGTCTCAGAGATGTTTCAGAAGATAGGAAGACCAGTGTGAGAGCGGAGTGAAATAAATTGGGCTAGCATGTAAATCACATTGGTGAAAGCAAATAATCAGGATGTACTTTAAAGGGTTCGGTTTGGAGTTAGCTGAACTGCATACCTGTCTGCTGAAGTTACAGATGTGGTTCAAAGCAGCTGGAAGCCCGTAACTTGGTTACAGCAGTTCTGTATTTTCAGCAGTTGTTGTAATATTCCTTTTGATAATGAACTTTTGATATAAAAGGGTCCATGAGCTCTGGATACATTAACTGAAGGCATGGAGCCATCCAAGCGATTTCCATAAGCACTAACGAAAAACCAAAAAGGAGGTTTATTGGTTCAGTATTTGAAACATGTCTTTGAGTTGCCATGTTAAGGATGGAGCTGAGGATCAAATTTAATGAACTCCAGTAAACAAAAATTGTAACAAAGGTAGGTACTCTGAGCATCTTTGAGAGTCCTTCACAGTACACGTGTGTTCTTCTCCAGTAAGCTAGTGGACCTGCACAAATGTTCACCTTGTTCTGATTGTCTTCTCCAACAGTGCGAATGCAACCGGTCTGTCTGAACCATCACACAGTGAAGCTGTGAACCAGTTCTGCTCTCAGTTGCCAATGCCAGTAGAGTCATAGAGAATAGAAATCAGCAGAAAGTGTTTCATAGTTTCATGGTTGTTAGGGGCTGGAAGGGACCTTACAGATCATGGCGTCCAGCCCCCAAATGCTCGTTGGCACAGCTGCCTGCAGAATTTCTCTCAAACAAGGATCCTCAGGTTAAGCAACTTCCTTTCCCACTTGTCTTTCTTTTTGGTTCAGCATTCGATAAGAGCCCTGGCCTTAAGAGTACTGCGGGAGATATTAAGGAATCAGCCAGCAAGGTTTAAAAACTACGCCGAACTGACCATCATGAAAACACTGGAAGCGCATAAGGATTCCCACAAAGAGGTAAGCCTTCTGCTTCTCTTTGTCCCCCGAAATAAAACAAGCATTTAGTAAAGCCTAATGCCAAGTGATGTGTTCAGGGTTTATGAAGGAAACAAACTGGCCTGTCATGACAATAGAAATACTCCACATTACACCTCTGTGCTGCGGTTCTGTATGCTTGCAATGGAAGAGAAAACCGGAAAGCAGAACTGGATGTGGAGTGTGGTGGTAGGTGTAGGCTTCACCCAGGACCAAGTTGCAAGGTGTGATAGGAAATGGCACATACTTCATGCTAAGGCTCTCGTGCCTGTCCACGACTGTAAGGACAGGGAAGCTAAAAGCAGGCAACAAATTGGTGAATGAACATCAGAAAATGGACAGCAAGGGAGGGGCAAGGTCAGGAAATGAACTATTGAGTGCCCTTTCAGTCCTGCCCACTAGATGCCGCATGGAAGCTGCAGCAGCAAGTATCCATCACGTCCCAGCTGTGTTGTTCAGCACATCGTTATACACCAGCGTGCACCACGCCAGGGTGCACACAGCCATTTGTTTAGGTGACTGGGGTTTGAGCCTCACTTATTACTCTTTGTTAGCCCTTTCTGTATATGACTGAACAGAAAAGAAATTGTCCCAGTGAAATCCCTGAAGCGGGAAGCATTTATGTGAGACTCTAGCTGCCAGGAGCAGATTTTTCCTCCACCGGTCACAATAAGCACGTAGAGCAAATCCCCAAAAATGACTTCCCTGACACGCCTGTGTTTCTGTAAGCTTTGGTTTTCAAACGGAGCTGAACGGGGCCAGAGCTAATTGAGCACTGCGCTTGGGCACAGCTAGCCCAGAAATCAAGCATGGTAAGATTTGGCCTTTGTAAAAGAAAGGGGAAAAACAGAGCTGTCCTCAGCTACCCATACTTCTCCTTGAGAAAGGTCATCAAAGATCATCAAGCCACGAGAAGGTCATCAAGCAGATCAGGCTTCCGCAAGGGATCCGGTAGCTGATGCAGAAGTATTTTGTTGGATGCAGCAGAAAGTTGTGCCACTTGTTTGAAATGATAGTGGGAGACAAGAAAATACCTAAATGTATGACCAACATCTGTAAAGCGAAGCCAGGAAACATGTAGGCTTTTGATAAATCAGCACGACAGCTTTAGGCTTACTCCTCCTCTCTCTGAATTAACGCGTCTCCTCCCTGCTGTCGTTTTTTTGTACCGGGTAATAAGTAGCAATTGTAAATTGATTTCCTGATAAAGCAGCAGGACAAAACATTTTGTTCTAGAGGGAGTGCCTTTATTGGCAGGTTTTTCCTGGTTACATGCTACTCATCTCACCTTGACTCAGTGCCCTTGTATTTATTCCTTCTGAAACTACTCCAAGAGCTCACACACAAAGCTGCCATCTCAAGCAGCGCCCTTCTTAAATATTTTTTCCTTTGTCTCTAAAGCCCCCTGGGGCTTGTTCCCCATGTGTCACTGGCAGTCGGCGTCAAAACAGAGGGCGGCATTTACGTTTTGACGTTTCACACTTTTAGGTTTTCACCTGCCTCTTGCATGCGCTTGTGACACGGAAAGCTTCTTTGGCTTTCGGGCACAGGTGTTTTGCACACGTTCAAAGCATACGAGGTCATTTTAGTCATAAAAGTAAAGGCAGTCCAGGGGGGTTGGGACTGAAGAAGCCAGAATTTTGGTCTTTTCTACAGGAAGAAGAGTACTAGCATAAGTGCTTTCCTGGAAGAAGCTGACCCCTCTGGTTGTGCTTACGTGACTTTGACCAGCATTTTATGGATAGCATCTTTAGTCACAGACTGAGGATGGAGCCTGTAGTTTGCAGACATCTGCAACACAGACCTTTTTGTATATAATCAGGTAACAGGATGCTGCAGGCATGTTTCCATAACGCTTAGGGACAAATAACAGCCGTCTTGCACAGGAGCATTAGGTAATGCCTCTGGGGTTGGAGTGGTTTGTGCAGGGAGAAGGAGCGATGGTCCTGCCCCACCAAGCACCAGCCCCTCTTACAGGCTGGTTCTTCTGAGCAGATGTGCAAATACAAATGATGTGTTGCTTCTCCTGCTCCCTGTGGAGGGTTTATTAGAGGCTCCGTCACTAGGAGACGTTCGTTTTGCCACTGTCCATTGCTAATCCCCTGGGCCTCTCTGCTGAATGGTCTGTGAGAACCACGGTGTCACTCATTGTAGGCGTAGCCACACTTCTCAGCAATTTGCAAGAGCATCAGTATTCATGAAGTCACGATTGCAAGTTCCCACGATGTTTCTGAGTAATGGAAAATGCTCTAGGTCAGTGGTTTTCAACCCTTTTTCATTTGCAGATCCCTAAACATTTTTTGAATGGAGGTGCGGACCCCTTTGAATTGTAGATGTGGGTATTCACATACTTTTGATTGATCAAATATATATGATCAATCAAATCAATCAATCATTATGATGCTTGAGAGAGCCCAGAGACGAGCCACGCGCATGATCAGAGGTCAGGGAAGCAGACCCTACGATGACAGGCTGAGAGCCCTGGGGCTCGTTAGCCTGAAAAAGCGCAGGCTCAGGGGTGATCTGATGGCCACCTACAAGTTTATCAGGGGTGACCACCAGCATCTGGGGGAACGTTTGTTCACCAGAGCGCCCCAAGGGATGACGAGGTCGAATGGTCACAAACTACTTCAAGATCGTTTCAGGCTGGACATAAGGAAGAATTTCTTTACTGTCCGAGCCCCCAAGGTCTGGAACAGCCTGCCGCCGGAGGTGGTTCAAGCGCCTTCATTGAACACCTTCAAGATGAAACTGGATGCTTATCTTGCTGGGCTCCTATGACCCCAGCTGACTTCCTGCCCTTTGGGCGGGGGGCTGGACTCGATGATCTTCCGAGGTCCCTTCCAGCCCTGATGTCTATGAAAGTCAATGAAAGTCTATGAAATCATAGTCACCTTTCGTGGACTCCTTAGATGTAGTCTACTGACCCTCAGGGTCTACGGACCACAGATTGAAAACTGGTCTAGGTATTTCTACCTGCAGACTTGGTTGCTGGCTTGGTTAAGTCCATGAAAATATAATCGTGAGTCCACTTGAGTAGGGCTCCATTGGTCCAACCCTTACCCCTGGGCCAAAGGGTCACAAATTCCCATAGTACCTTGAGGTCTAGGTTATATTCAGTGGGCACGTCTACACGTTCATTAATGCGCTGTAATTACAGCGCATTAAGTTTAGTACCTGCCGTTATAGGTACTAACTGAATGTGCCATAATCAGCGCAGCTGCGCATTAGCACAGATGAACCTTTTTTTTTTTTTTGTGACGCTACCGCGCACTAGACTAAATCTACTGCGCGTTGGTGCATTAGCACAGGCTTTGCCCGCCACGCTGATGTGCAGTGGACTGTTTTTTGCGCATTGTCTCGTATAGACGCACCCACTGCTGAGTTTTGCAATGCAGGTCTGGTAACAGGGTCTCTACTGCACAGTACTGGCAGCATCATGGTTCGTGCTCACTGATGCTACATCGCCATAGCGATGAGCTAGCTTGTTGCTATGGCAATGTAGCATTTCATGTAGACACGCCCAGTAAAGCATCACCGGCTACACATGCGCCAGCACTAGAGCACAGTAAACGAATTAACTCTGCCATAAGATAGTACTGTTGGGGACAGTATTATTTTATGATGGCGTAATTCCATGTGATGAAACGCACACGTAGATGGTGACCGTAGCCGCAGTCAGCAAGGGGCCAGACTCGTGTCTGACGCTCGTGCCCCTGTCAGCCCCTCTGTCACCCAATGCCATCACCCGGAGCCCAGGGCTGACCCTTGCCAGCCTGGGGCTGCTCTGGCCTGGTGCAAATTGCTGCTGTCCTGGACGGACATGTAGATGCTGCACCCGGGAACAGTTACTCTGGCTCAAATTGCTCTGGAGTATATTGCGTCACTTTAATTGCACACGTAGAAGCACCCAAGGTGAAGCTTTCAAAATGACAGCATGGTTGTACTTTAGGCACCCTTATTCCTGCTCCCTGTGCATGCGAAGTAGTAAAAGCCAGCTTTAGATTTGCCCATGTTTATCCGGGCAGAAGATTAAAGACGCTAGGTTTGATTATGGTTTCTTGCTTTAGCTTATTTTTCTACCAGTGCCCGACCATTGACTCGCATGCAGTCACTGTTGTTGTACGTCAGTGCAAAATTAGAAGTGGACTCATTGTTACTTTAATTATAGCAAATTATTAAGCGTTTGACATGTCAGTGCTTTTAATTTTAGTTACCCTTTAGTGCTCAGAGAAGTATGATGTTGGCAGTATTATTGCTTGGTGATTTTTATCACTTTTTTGCTTGGAGTTAATTGGGGGCAAAAAAATCTTTCTGTTCCCAATTAGTTAATATTAACCCATTTGTTCCAGTAAATTTACTCACCCATAACTAAGTCAAGAGAAATGTTGTTGTCTGCCATAACTGATACCACTGATGTGACATTGCTTTGGCCTCTGTTTTCTACAAGTAAAGGAAACCCGTGTATATTTGCCTGTACATTAAAACAGAAATCCCTGGTTTTCTTGGGAAATATATTACAGAACATCTTTTTCAGTGTCACACTCGGGAAGGGATCTCTGCCGAACCGATTCTGCAGACCAGCGCAGCTGATGAGCCTGTTCCCTAGAAGACAGCTCTAAAATTGTGTGTCATTTAAAATATTAATCCAGCTTTGTTCCTGCATCATACCGAGACTCTTTCAGCAAATGCGTCATCCTGTGGCAGCACTTCAAAACTCATGATGGTGACCAGGGTGTATTTTAAATGACTGACCAGTCTAGCTGTGGCACGTTCAGACAGGGGCCTGGTACACAGCCGCTAAAAGCCAACTGTCCCACAGTTGGATTGCAGTCTGCATCTGTTCCCATAAAATGCAGATTGTTGAAGGAGAACAGGACTGTTAGGACAGATTAAGGTATATCGCGCATCAAACCTTTACATTCCCTCTGCTTTTCTAACGCATGAAACAGCCTCCCTCTTTCCATTGCTTAAGTAGCATG